ATGATGATGATGATGATGACGATGATGATGATGAGGATGACGATGACGATGACGATGACGATGACGATGATGATGATGATGATGCTGATGATGACGATGATTCTGCTGATGACGCTCCCGCGGCTGTAGTACTAGTAGCATGTGTTATGACTTATTCTTAATCGTACTCTTTGAGTGCTTTAGCCCCAACTAGCAAGCCCTCGACCGACGTCCGAGCCGTCGTCCTGCCTCCCCGAACGCCGCCACGTCGATAGTGAAAGGCCTGAAACCACTGCTGTTTTCCAAGTTTTAACGTTCTAGGCCTTAGGGCTCTAAATTCTCACCCCCCGAACCTCGACTTCCATGGTGGACGAGGGGCGACAAAAACCGATTGCCAGGGCAGGTTTCACGGGCACTTCGGGCTTGTCGTAGGTATGTCGCCACAAAGAAAACACACCATCGGCATTATGCACCCCGAACCTGGCCTGCACACTAAGGGCCTAAGGCCTAAACCCCATACCCCTATGGCCGCCTGCGGCTACACTGGATAGTACCACCGCCTCCTGGCCGAAGATGGTGAGTGTTGGATTTAGGGGCTAAGGCTGAAGTTTTGAGGATGGCGGTCACTGTTCTGACACTGCTGGTACGATTGCTGATGAGGCTGTTGCACATGCTGTGATGAGGAAGATGTTTTGTTGGAATCTCTCAATTAGTTTGCACCTTTTTCTATTGCCTGCCGTTTCATTTATTCTCAGCGTTGTCATCCGGACCATTGCTCTCAGCATTATCGCTTTTACTTTAGCGTTAGAATCTATAGAAAGCGCTGCTTGTTTCGCTTCTTAGTCGCTTCTTAGTCAACATTTGTGGAGCCACCTGGAAAGGGGCCAGGGCTCAGGGACCAAATGTTTACATACCGTCGACCCTGGTCCTCAAACCCTACATCCAACAGGCATTACCCNNCCCCCCCCCCCCCCCCCCCAAAGTTCGATCCTAATACCTCGCATGCCTAAGCCCTAACTTCCTAAAACGCCAATCCCCAAAATCAACGCCCTCCGGTCCTTCTCGGAGACCAGGGAGCGCACAGAGGCTGGATGCGCAGGCCCCTGCCGGGCCGGCGCGACGGCCTGGAGGCTCCAGGCTTGGTGGAAGGGGCACAGGGAGATGGGAGATTTCTAATGAGGGAGGTTGATGGTTACTACAAGGGCTCCGTAGGGGTTCTCGGATTCTAGACGGGATAATAAGGGTCTCTACTTCTTTGGAGTTCTTCAGTCAGAATGAAACCCATAAACAGGACCATCGAACCATGGTTCTAAATCAGGTCGCCGTGCCTTCAGGCATCCCCGGCCAGCAACTACAGCACCATGATGTGCGCATGCCTAGTAGCCCTGAACCCTAAACCATGTAACACAGCTGCAGGCCTGAACCCGCCTAGCCGCCGACGGAAGCACAGCTGCCATGGCAGGACAACTTTCCGGGCTTCGAGGGCAGAAGCCTCAACTGGGATCCTCCGAGACTTAATGCTTCTTGTTCGGGTTGGGTGGAGGGAGGAATTGAGGCTGAGACCGTCGGTTGTTCGACAGGGTTCGCGTTCCCGGCACTGCAGGGCTTGGGCTATTCGAAGCACAGGATCTTACAGCAATGAACCTGTGGAAAAATCTACTCAAAAGCACCTGCTTCGCTTTAGAGCACACCGGATGTCCTTCAAGGTCAGGCCCAGGGTTTCAACTGTGACACTTCATAGTTTCCTAGTTCTTCATTGTCGCAGTCGATGCGGTCATGGGAGTGGCTCGGATGCTTCCGGCACAGAGAAGCAACAGCTAGCCGGCATAACGGAAGGAAGCAGAGCGGACAGCTCGCAGTGAAGGCACTCTGAGAACACTCCGATTCTCTGCTCCTCTGCATCGGACCCTCGGTCAAAGGGCTCTTTTCTTTACGGGACGTGCGATGGCGATGCCATGTCGGGAGCAGCAAGAGTGCCAACCGGCTTGCTCGGCATCGCCTGGCGTCGATCACTCTGAAAGACGGAGGCTTTCTGCTAAGGCGCAAGATGCCTAAACAAAATCTGGAGAGGTAGAGGGCATGAATCCATACTGCCATGACTTTTCAACTTTTCACTCCCTGTGCTCGGGCGGCAAAAAGGGACGGTCGCTCTTCGAAAGCCTTTACCAGCCGGTTTCCGTACTTGCGTATGCATGGCCCAATGGCCAAAGATGGAGCTGCAAAATTCAGGCGTGGTTCGTGGCAGACTCTGGCTGTTCACAACAACACATGGGTGGTTGTCAAAATTATGGTCCCTTTTTGGGTCCTTATTATAATACGGCACCTATTATTTAGGGCACCCCAAAAGGGACCATAATTTTGACAACTACCCACATGCTGAACGTCTCAAGCTTTCTGTGCAGCATAAGGGCTTGAGGCTGCGAGCCACCTGCTCGTCCGCTCAAGCCAGGCACTGATCATAAAGGAAGCCGCCGCCATACTGTCATCGGCACCTTTGCCCTGCAGCCTCTCGCTGCGAAACCAATCAACCCATGATGCCGTACCATGACCCCCATATTCCAAGAAGAAAGCTTGTCGCAAATATTTCGACCCTGACTGGCAGTCATCAGAACCAGAAACAAGAGTGCCAGGAACACCGTCGCGAAGCGTCTCCAACCAAACCCGCGAAGGTCCCAGGCCCTGGCAACATGGTGTTTTCGGACGCGGAGTGCACAGCATGCAGCAAGCACGACGTAAATGAACTGCAAAAGTGCATGCACTGAATGCGCATGGGGAGGAGTTTCAATAGTTTGGTGATCGCCAGTAGCAGGGCGGGCCTCAGGAGGCTTGGCGGACTGCAAGGTCTCGTGTAGTTGGCATGTGAGAATTAAAGGTTTGATGGTTCGGTGCTCAAGCCCAACCCTCAGCCCAGAACTTACCACAAGACCTCACTCAAAGCTAAACTCTGCGTATTCGATGCGGGTTTGAGGGCCTAGGCTTCTGGCTTCTGGGAAAGTCGGATTCTGAGGCCCGATGATCCTCGTGCTATGGGCGCCAGGCCTCGTCCATGTCGGTGAAAACGTGATTGAGCAGCACCACGGACTCCTCTCGGATCTCTGGGTGGACTACGTATTGGATTTCAACAATATCCGCCGAGAGATGTGCCGGGTGACCACTACGGATGCTAGGCTAGGACGGTGCCACTGCAATCATATCGCAACAGATTACCTTGCTGATGCAGGGAAACAGCTTGGTTACATTGCGAGCACTGTTAGTCGTCATAGGCGTCGTCGTCGTTGTGGTCTTCGTCGTGGTAGTCGTCGTCGTCGTGGTGGCGGTCGTCGTGGTGGCCGGGGTGGCACCAGCAGTGGTGGTAGGAGTAGGGCAGGGGTAGGAGGAGTATTGAATAGCAGTGAGCAGCAATGGAAGCACCAGCACCACACTACTCCTCTTCCTACCACTGCTCGACTGCTGCCGCTGCTGCTACAATTACTGCAGCTAGCGGAACCTTAGCCCATTCTGGCTAGAAGTACCGCAGCCTAAAGTGGCTCGCCATAGACCAATACTGCAGCTACATCTCCACTCCAAGTTACACGATTCATGACAGTAAGGCCAGTACACTTTCCCACAATTGGCAGCAACCACTGCCCAGTGTCAGTCTTGGTTTCAACGCTGTAGGAAATCAATTAAAACATTCGTGCACGAGCCTGGTACAACAAGGAAGACTGCCACAACAAAACATGACATGGTGGTGTAGGGTTTGGCATATAGATGCTGGGATTTGTGCAAATGAAAGCGACAGAGCGACGTTCAAAGGTGCGGCTAATTTGTTCCAGAGGGCAGCTGCGGCCCCTGTCTTCTCAGCCCAAAACCCTGTCCGGCAGGGCCATCTGAAGGCAAAGGAGCATGTCCAGCTTTACCGCCTGCACCGCTGGATTCTCGTGAATCAGATCCCATGCGGGGTGGACGGAGCTGCATGGGTGCTCTCGTTAAGAGGAGACTCTCGACCCCACCCGTGCCCACCCTGAAACGGGCCTCGTAAGCATGGTTCCCATCTATGAACATCAGGTCGAACTCAATATGTCGAAACCTGGGCCGGCCAAGTGCTTCGGCAAATAGAGCCTGCTCGCACTGAGCTCGCAACTAACCCCCTAAGCTTTATGAGGCCTGAAAGCCTTATCCTAGACGCCCCAAGCCTTACTAAACAAGTATATCGGGAAGCTCAGGAAACCTTTTTGAAGATGTCTCTGCAAAGATGCTACATTCCAAAATGGTCACTATTGCCCGAAATTCTTAACCCTGACAGCCAAACCCTGACACCCCTAAAGCACCAAAAACAAAAAACTAAAAGCCCGTCAAAAAAAACACTAAAACCCCGAAGGCCTTCGATGCTCTCAACCCCGCAAGTCCAGACGAACTACCCCCCCCTCCCGCCTCCACCCCCATCCTCAAAAACACATGGGGCTTATGAGCCTCAAACCCTAAACCACCAAACCCTAAACCCTGAACCTGACCCGTAAACCCTAAAACCAAACCCCTCAACCCCGATGCAACTCACCCTAACTTGAGAGATTTCCAATGGGGGTTTACGAAATGGGGGCTTAAGACCTTGGAGTGTGGTTAGTAACCCTAAACCCTAAACCCTAAACCCTAAACCCTAAACCCTAAACCCTAAACCCTACCCAGCTAGCAACTCTCCTACCAGGTCCGGGCCTTGGAAGCATCTCTGCCGAGTCCCCCTCGAGGAGGATGTGCGTCTGTCCGCGCTCCTCTTTAGGGTTTAGGGTTTAGGGTTTAGGGTTTAGGGGTTTAGGGTTTAGGGTTTAGGGTTCAGGGCTTGGGGCTTTAGGGGTTTAGGGGTTTGGGGTTTTTAGGGGTTTGGGGTTTTGGGGCTTTTGGTGTTTAGGGGTGCAGAGGGTTCGGGCTTAGGGGCGCAATACGTTGTTGCCCGCATGGATTATAAGGGCGTAGGGAGTACGATTGTAGAGAAAGGGTTTAAGGCCTTACAAGTAGGGACTTTCGGATTTTCAGCGGGCTTCAGGGGGTTTTGACGGTCTAGAGTATAGAGTTTGGGATTTTCTGGGGACTACCCAGTTCTGGATCTTCGTACTAGTGTTCAGGGTGTAGGATTCGGAGTTTAGAGTTCAAAGCTTTGGGGATTGTGGTTTATTTGGGATTCAGGGAGAAGCAACGGAAGGGAACGCGACCGAGCTGCTTGACGAAGAACTGGCAAGAGCAGTGAAGAGCTTGGTAGTCATGGCCAGAGGCAGCTGCAATCAGCTGCAGTAGCCTAGTAGTGAATCGGTACGTCGTCCAAAGCCTGAACCTGCAGTACCGGACTCGTAGTATGGACGGGTCAGGTCCTACTTCAGCCCGAGGCTTGGTCCTGCGCAGTCTTTGCGACGAACTTCTCCAGCGGACGCGTGTACCTCCGGATCCCATTCACATATGGAGGCTCGCTCTGCTGACACGACACGTGACAGCTCATCGCTTCGAGCCAGGGTCAGACATGGGCAGGGGCACGCGTGGCGGCACAAGTCCAGAGACAGCAGCACGCTGTCTTCAGGTGCCTTTGTGCATGTTGGTGGGTTCCGAAGCCGGGTTAGATCGAGTCTTGCAGCCTTGCACCAACCGCAACACATCTAAGCCTTTACTGAATACCAAGAAAACGAAGCCCAGGACCACACCCACAAAACTTGAAACCGTCCAAACCCAAAGCCAACGCGCCAATCCTTGTGCCCTGAAAGCCCATACCCCTGCACCACACCTGCAAACCCCGACACTCCTCAAAAACCCCAAGAGCCCCGTAAACCCGCAAAGCGTGGATAGAAAGTACCGACTCGGGCCTGGTCCAGCAGCGCCGCAGCGCTGTGGCCGGCGTTGAAACCTGCCGGAGCGTGAGGAGCTTTGCTTTTGCTTTGCCAGGCTTGGAAGGGGAAGGGTGATGGTAACCCTGAAAGAGAACCTCGTTGTAAAAATCCACGAATTATATGAAATAGATGCTCGAGGCGGATTCGGGCCTCCAGGGCTCAAAGATGTCGAGGGTTCAAGCTTAGTGCGGGAGTGTTCAGATCGGACGCTTCGAACCGCGGTTTCTGGTTTCCGCCTCGGAAGAAATGCTTGTAAATTTAATTAAGGCTTCAAGTTTAGAGTGTAGGAGTTTAGATTGCCCTGAGGCTCTGTCGAGCCGAGATCACGCGATCAGGGCTGTACCGGAAAGCCGCAAGAAAACCAAACCCTGAGCCCACAACAGACCCTATCCAAGCCCTACTTCCCAAAGCTTGAGCCCTACCCAATCTCTTCGCAGATCAGTCGGGCTCCCTGTGTTTGTATGGGTAAACGCCCAACCGGCAAGAGCCCAAACCCCACAACTACAAACCCAAACCCTAAACCTACAATCTATCCTACACCCCTCAGCTGGCTTCTTCCACGTCATGCAGGTCGAGTTTCTGGTTTGGGTGTGCTGAGGGAAGGGGACCACCGCAAAGGAGGCTTCATGAGTCATGAGATTTAGAACTGTTCGGTTGGTGCATGTTTACATTCCTTGTCATGGATCGATCGAACATCATCTGCCGATCACGCACCACAAGGCCAAACGTCCGATGTCCCCAAATCTGGCGCATGTCCCTGGTCCCTCTGACTTCAAAATCCCCGAACCCCTAACCCGAACCGCACACCCAAAAACAAGGTCCAAGAGTGTCCAAGGCTTCGACTTTCGGCAAGGTTTCGACTTTGAGGCTTAGGTTTCGCTTTAGGTATACCACACGACGCGGTCCAGGTCCTGGCGAACCCGAAAGTTGCGCCTATTTGGCAAATCTTCAGGCCGCCCGCAAACTGCGGGCTGCCGAAGCGGTGGGCCACGAAGCTGCGAAGGAACTGCGAGGTGCGTCGTCGGATCAGATGTGGGGCTTGTGGGCTTCGGGCATGAGTGGAGCCTACTACCCCTGTAATCTTCCCCCTAACTCAACATTAAGTTGTATGCTACGATCGGGGGGTTGATGGGCCCTTCCCCCCAACCTTCAAGCCTCAACGAGCGCTTGCCAAGAGTTTCAGGTGTCTGTCTGTTTTGCGCCAAGGGCAGATCCTCACCGGAATCCGTCAACCCCCACCGCCCGAAGAATAGGCGCGTGAGACGAAACCCCGATCACTCACTACTCCGACATAAAACTCCATATGGGTAGTTGTCAAAATTATGGTCCCTTTTGGGGTACCCTAAATATAATACGGACCTAAAAAGGGACCATAATTTTGACAGCCACCCATATAATCTCTACACCACTACATCACCTTTCTCCGATCCAATAAAGACCCGACAGCAGTCCACCTCCAGCTGTTCCGGAGCACAGTGCCCTTCCATGTCCTCCGTAGGGCCGTAGGGAGGAGAGGGTTTTGAGGCATCTCTCAACACCAAATGCATTAGTGCGGAACACGACCTCTGTCAATCGAGCTTGGGCGAGTCTGGGGATGTCCGGCTTGAGGGTTATGGGTCATGGGCATATGGTTCAGGGCTTTGAGGAGCTTGACGCAGTAGGAGTTTGGGGCGTTGTGTTGGGCAGAAGCACGAGGCAGCAACAGCAGAGTCGCGTAAACCTTTCGGCAGCAACCTGCCGGATCGGAACAAACACGACACAACTGGCCAAGACTTTGGGCCCAACATACGGCTCCAGCTAACTGCTGGACCGGTGTACCCCGGTGTCCAAGCGGTATGACCAGAGCGAGGGCAACAACACGCAGCCAACACAAACAGGATTTTCGTTGTGTCTGAACAGGAAGAGAGGACTGGCAGGGACTTTTGTCTACCTTCAAGATGGCGTTCCCACAAAATGGAAGCCTGGTACAGCCAACAACCTCGAAACAACAGCGGACTTCAAAAAGCTGCGGCCACGGAGGTGCCTCCGTCTGAAACTCCGCACAGCCGGCGGCCGCGTTTGTAAGGCCTTGCACGAAGGAGCCTCGGCTGCTGCGCTGGTCCAAGGCCACGACTTCGGGTACCTCGGGGTCTAAATCCCATAATCAACAGAATACCCTGACTTTATGACACCCTACGCTCGGATGCGCTCGCCCTGAGCCTGTTGGAAGATGGAAGATCAAATAATCAGAGCCATCTGAATCTCTTGCTGCGATTCCCCGCTAACAATATGAGAACATTCCACGAGCAGCCCCATAAACGACAGAAGCCCGGAGAGATCTGAATATGTTAGGCCCCAAAGCGCACAGGAAAACTTGAACCACATCCAAGCCATGAGCGTTGAACCAGGGGTCTACGATAGTGGCCTGCATAGGAGTAAGGCTTAGCGATATACCCATCAGGACCATAGCGGGGATCGTTTCGCTCATCATTCCGTCTACATTACTTGGGTCCGAAGTCTGGGTCCCTGGCTTGGCTGCAACTTCGGGAGGCGCATCTCCTGCCTTGACACCAGAACAGCTGACTGCCGGTGCTGGGAGCTAGGATAAGGGGGACCCTTGGGGATATAGACCCTCTCAATAAGGTCCCTTTTAAGGGAGCCAAAAGTAGGGTTAAAAAGGGGTACCCTTTAAGGGGTACCCCTAATAATACTACCTCGGTGCTACTTAGCTTCCGTGGCGTGGAGGGCTTTCGGGTCTGTAATCAGGGTCTCGCAGTGTTGCGTTGGCGGCATCTTGCTTATCGGCTGCTTTCTTTCAGTCTTTCGGTCGGGATGGGGCCGGATGGCGTGGCGGAAGGCAAATCGGCACAGCCCAAAGCTCTGTACGCTCGCCTTAAGCGAGCCGGCAGGTCATTAGTCTCAGCGCATCAAGTCGGACCGAGAGCTCCCAGTGTGCCTGACGACCCGACGCAAAGCCCTCGCAGCTAAAAACATAAGCCTTAATAATCCGACATGGGGCTTTGGGGAAAGATAGTCAAGATACTATACAGATAGTAAGGAGCCTTAAGGGGTAGTATTGGCAGTAATCGGCCCTTTTCTTAGATTCATGTGTTGCGGCAGATATAGGGCGCGCCCGTGCACACCTGCGGACAAGCAGGCTAGATTTGCATGCGTAGCGAGGGAGTATCCGGCTGTAAAGCCCAAGCGCGGCTGCAATACGAAGTCGACAAGTGCAGGACACAGGCAAAGTCATCATCGGCAGAGTTGTTATCAACCAGTGCTTCAGGGTACCTACAGTATCCATGGTAGGAAGGTTTGAACCCTAACATCGAATCCTAAAACGGAGCAACCCTCTTTCCAGATTTTGGAGTTTCGAGGCTCACTTAATCCGGGCTTGTGCTTTCAGGGACCGAGCTGCAACAGGTCTCTCGGATGTCGTGAAGCTATGTAGATCAACGCAAACTGTGACATTACCTGGAGGCTTCCCTTGACACATGCTTGGGTTTAGGGTTTGGGGTTTAGGGTTTAGGGTTTGGGGTTTAGGGTTTAGGGTTTTAGGGGTTTCTTGCTTAAGGTTTGGGTCTCCCAAGGAAAAGCTGCACACTTATCAAAATCAGAACTCGCCTGTGCGCCATGCCCGCGTTCCCTCACTGTCGCCAACTACCTGCCTCTTTCCCAAACCGAAACGCAACCCTACTACCACCCCCGCCCTCCAAAGCGTCCTCCTTGGAGGGTTCCACGCGACCTGGGACCTGGAGAACGAAGCTGAGGCTCGGGGTTTCTAAGTTATCCATTCGGGCTGGCAGGCCGTCTTGCTTGAGGCCTGAATCTACACGCCAAGCCCAAGGCCCAGCAGCACGAGTACGAATGTTCTAGTATAAGAATTTTAATGAGGAGCCCCGAGGAACGATTTTAATGAGGAGCCCCGAGGAACGATGTTGGGAATTACTGAGGCCACTCTTTCAGAGATGACCGACACGAAGCTCAGGGTTTTGGGGTTATTACAGCCGTTGGCATCACCTCGTTGAATTGAGTGTTGGTCTAAAGCCTCTTGGCCGCAGAATTCATCTGACAAATGGTTTAGCCCAAAGGGTTCTGGGTGACTCCAATATTTTGCAAACGAAGGCCAAGACCAAGATTGCTTGATTTACAGAAAGGCATGTTTCTAATGACCTATCTTGAAGCATGCTTGGATGACTTAACTTAAAGTAGCGCACCTTTGAGAAAGATCTTATCTTAGAGCGCGTTGTTGAATAAACAGGTTTGGAGTCTCTGGATGTTTAACAAAATCCTGCAGCCTAACTTAACCACAGTTGTAGGTGGCAACTTGAGGCTTCAAAACCCTTCGGCCCTGGCTTGGCTTCATCCTGAACGAACCGAGATCAACAGCTTCGCAGACTGCTCCCGCCTCAGAAGGCGAGCGTCTGAAGAAGGGAATCCCGGCACCACGCCTTCAAGGACAAACGACTTCCGGGAACGTCGGGTTACTTAACACGAGACGTGACTTTGAGAGCAGCCAGACGGAGGCATTCCTTAGACATACATATATATGTTCAAGACTACCTGCTTTCATACCTTGACAGCAAGATGGCATGACCCACTCCTCTGCGACCACGCTGCGTGCTGCACACCTGTCAGAGTCACGCATTGCCATCGATCCGAATATCGTGACGAGGGTGCCGAAACTTGCATTACACTAGTCATTGCGTGATACCTTCCACAGTCAAGAAGACATCCCTATCGCAGGTCTTGCTTGTGTGGACGACTCTTCAATGCTGTTCGCGCAAGTGGAGACAGTGTAGGGGATCCTGACTTGGAATTGTGACAGATGCAGAGTGAGAACCTACCTGCTGAAACTTGGAATGGTAAGACAGGCTTGAACAATTGACAGCCGTCGGTACCCGGAGAACCCAAACTGGAAATTGTAAGTTCCTAGACCTTGGCGCGTTGCTCTTCGAACACTTTCTTGGTTCGGGTCCGGTGCTATATGAGGGGATTCGGGGCTCTGAGGATTACGACTTCACGCCTAGGCACTCAGACAGGGTCTGGGATTGCGGACGGCTCGGACGGGAGCTGAAGACTATTGAAGTCATTGAAGTTTGAGTGTTTGCGTTGCGGTTTGGCATTGGTGATTGTGGAACTGAAGCTTCTGCGCGCTGTAAACGCGAGAGGCTGCGCTCCCATCATGCACAAAGTAAACACTCGCCAAGCCACCCTCCCCGCAAGCATGAAAGGCCGTTGGCACCACCCAGCGACGACGCACAAGACGAGTCGACTCGGCAAGGTCGAAAGCACGTGTCAGCACAACTTCAAACACTCTGAACACGTCCTCCCAAATCTCCAGATCCAGATCCAAAGCCCGACAACCCTCATCCTAAACGGGTTTGACATTTGGGTTATCGCCAGACTGAGCCCGCACGCCTCGCCACTGTGAAGCACCGGAAGCACAAACAGCGGCCTGAGTGTTCAACTTGTTCATCCTCATCTACACCTTCCACACAAAAAAAGATGTTATGGCAAACGCCTTGTCCTGGTCTAACATAAACCACTGTTTGGTAGTTCCCTTATTGTTTCTTGCGGGCTGTAACATTAAGATCGAGATTATTATCCTCATGAAAGCACAGCTTGCAAATCCAAGGACTCTAAAGGGTTTAGGGTCCTTTGTAGAGCCTGTGAGCTCGTGCACTTCTGCGCTTGGGCCCATAAGAGCCGCCCTGCCAGAAGTTTCGCATTTCCGTAGGGTTTAGGGTTCAGGACTTAGGGTGGGGGCCCGGAGGCTCTACAGTACCCAAGCATTGCTTCGGCAAGCTGCTTAGACTGTCTTAGATTCTCGCTCTGGGGCCCGGACCCCAAAGCCTGAAGCCATAGATACCTCTGAATCCCCACCCTACTGTGGACTGCACCCCTAAACCCCCAAACCTTCAAACCTTAAGCCCTCAGCAACCCTCACACCTCTAAAACCCCAAGCCCCAAACCCTGCACTCTAAACTTCCAAGACCCCGTCGTGCTTTCGAGTTCGTCCGCTCCAGCTGAGGCCGCAGCGCAGACCGGGGGCAGCCACGTCCTGAAAGTGTTTAATGGCAGCAGATGTGGCATTTATACCAAACTTATGCCCTCATCGCTGCCCCACGCGGCTCCTTGAAGCGCTACACAAGGGTGCAGACACAGATCGCGATATCCTCGCAGTGGAGCTCTCAGAGGTTGCCGGCCATTGGGGTGTTAGGGTCTCGGCCCCTGGAGCAGGGTCTCAGGTGTTACGGGTGGGAGCTAGGATTAGGGGGACCCTTGGGGATATGGACCCTCTCAATAAGGTCCCTTTTAACAGAGCCAAAAGTAGGGTTCAGAAGGGGTACTCTTTAAGGGGTACCCCTAATAATACTGCCTAACGGGGTTGCAGGGTCCAATTCTTCTGATGCTGCTCTTCGGGAAGCGGGATGCGCATGGTTTATCAGACCAGAAGTATACAAGGATTTATCAACAACTATCAAGGTATGAAACGACTACATACGACTACTAACATTTCCGACCCCGATGTAATCCACCTCAAAACCTGCTTTGGGCACTCGGTCCTCGGAGACTGGAGGGTGATGGCCGGGGCAGACGGCACAGCTCGCGTTCGCATCTTCGTTCAAGCTACGCTGATTTGGGTCCGACTGAAGGCTCCGTACGAGTGCGAAGCTAGTTTGCCCACATGCAGGGTTTGCCGATGCGCGGTCTGCCCAGATGGATTAATACGGGGCAGCACTGTACTCCCACTCGATCGCTTACAAAACCTAACATGTAGACATGTATAGACAGATGGATGAACTGCGAGGGTTTAAAGTTGCTTGTCTACGGGTATAAACGCCGCTACTCGGTTGTGTAGTTGACTGAACTAATCCCGTGCTGTCTCACTTCAGTTTGCCGTGCCGAGCCAGGCTGAAGCGGAGGAGAATTTTGCGACAAGCTGCTTCAATCTTCAGGTTTTAGGAAACCATCATAAAACCAATACACATTGTGTAGGAAAGCATCATAAAACCAATACAATGTTCCTGTGTCTTCCGTGGAGCATGATCATATATATATATATATACATATATGGGATGTTCGAACCACATTCTGTTCGAGTGCTTCTGTCTTGCCGCAGGAAGTTGCATGAAGATTCTGAACTTCTTGAGGCTGGGAAAAGCTGGTAGAGCGCCGCGCAATGGCAGCATGTGTGTTCAAAAAGCGTTTCCAAAAGCCTTGCCACGCCATGCGAACTTACCCTTACAATTCAACTGGCAAAATCTGGCAAACCGTTTCCACCATGTTAGCCGTACAATGGCTTGAGACACGCCCGGTTCCCACACGTTTAAACATGTTGCTGCGCATTGACACTTGCCTATCGGATCAACCATCTGCGGCTGTCTGACCACCTATCTATCTATTCATCTGACTCATCCCGAGGAGCAGTAGCACTCTTTGAGTACCTAGAAGTACCAGCAGTAGGAAGAGTAGTCTGAGCTCTTTGTTGTTGCTGCTACTGCGTAGTCATGTTTTTTCTACTTGCTGCCAGCCTTGTCTCGAAGGAATAGTCTTGGTAGGGCTGAGGGCTTAAACCCCAAAACCTTTGCGGCTTCTGCAGAATCGAAGGCCCCTAAACGATAACCATGTAGCTAAGGCCTCCACGTCAAGAATGTGTTCAGCTCCCTCCTCCAGTCGAACTTCCTCTTGGCCATTCCAGGGGCAGGTGGAGTTTGCTCCGAGACCGCCCGGTCAAGCTGTTGTCAACAAAATGGCCACCAGGCATCACGGTTGTTTGCTTACTCTTGCAGGAATGCAGAGATGAGATCAAGCCCAGTATGAGCTATGCTTCCTTCGGGACGGCAAGGGCAAGCAACCCGTTAACTGCTCAGTACGAGAGTAGCAGGCGATAAGAAGAACGACGAGAATAACAAAAAAGAAGATGAAGAAGAAGAAGAAGCCTAATTAGCTCGGACTGTTGGAGTGTATCTTCCGACCACTTATGACTCACTTATGATTCAATAATGAAGAGATGCTCAAACCAGTCAGCCAAGTGCACCGATATTTTGCAGCCGCCGGTGCTGAATGTGCCGAAGAATCTTGTGTGGGGTGCCGACATTGACGCCGCAAATGGCGCCATGAGCACACTGTCGGTACCCTCCACCAAGAGACATAAGAGAAACCGGACAGCCAAACCAATCGAGGCCTATGACTTTCCGGTGCTGTCGTCCGAGGTCAGTCCATCATCATGGCCTTTCGCTTCTGCGCGACTTTCCTTGGTCACAGGCAGGGCTTCGGATTTGGGTGTAGCTTAGTGCTTGTATGCGGTGCAGAGGGTTCAAGGTGAGCTGAGACCAGATCTGTCCTTCCTTCTTGTACCGAAGCTTCCGCGACTCTTTCTGATGAGCATCTCGCTTGTCCTGGTCCAGGGGTGGGGGGCTTCAGGATTTTGAGGAGGATTCCTGACAAAGGGCTCGGAGTGTGGAAGAGCCCGTGGCTTCAACGAGCTGCATGATGTACTGCTGCTCGTGTGCCGAGATCGTACTACTTGGGCTACTACTCAGGCTTCTACATGAGGGATTTCCGGGCCTGAATGAACTTGTCCTTTACTTCCTTCGCCTTCTTTCTGCGACTGCTGGCTTCTTGCCGAACCTTATAGCTGAGATGGCCGGCCACGGAGAACAGGAAACACTCAGTCTCTGAACTCCTTGCTAGCAGTACCAGAGCTGAAAAGGGTGTCAACGACTCAAAAACGTAACAAGTCAGCCAAGTGCCAGCTCTGGGTCCCACGACGCTTAGGGCTTAAGCGTTTAGTCACAGCTTACACCAAGCTGGGGATAGCGTGCGTGTTCAATCGAATATTGGAAGAGAAGATAGGACGACCTGCTTGCAGTCCTACTCTCACCCACTGGAGGTTCACTGGCAACCGGCATGGCTTCAGCGCCCCACCCGCGCTTTCTCCTTGCGGATGGTGTATAGCCTCCCACCATGAAGGCTCTTACAGACTTTGACAACTAAAGAAGCCTCAAAGCTGACAATTGGCGCAGGACTTGCAACTCAAACGACATGTATGCTGAACCGTCTTTGCAATGGTTGGGTATGTGCTGCAGCGTTGATTCAAGCCCTGCCACGAAAGACAGCGTTCTCCCTCGCAGGACTCAAACCTCCAAAGCAAGGATTGAGGAGCGCCTGTGTAGGAGGGCGTTGACGGCCTTCTCCCTCTCGCTGGAAACCTTGGGCAAAAATAAGGTGCAGTAGGTTTTCGGATTTCCGATTTGCAAGGATCTGGGTTGACTTTAGAGCCCGCAGCTCGAATTAAGTCTCAAGAGACCTGAGGAACTCTGAGTTCGGTGCAATGGCAGCCTTCTTCGCCAAGCCCGTCTTGCGGCTCTTTGGCAAGTAGCGGGTCTTGGCCTTGAAGGGCAGCGACGCCTGTAAGGGGGCGGAGAGGGGCGGAGGTGTGAGGAGGGCGGTGAGGGTGTTTTTGGCATTGAAGGTTTTAGGGTCTGGTGGCTTTTGGGGGTTTACAAGGCTTTGATGAGTTTTAGGATGCGCGGAGGATTCGAGGTGGCCTCAGGGCCGTGGAGCATTCCTCAAACCCACCCTGAACTCAACCCCCAAGCCCAAAACCGTGTTGAAATCCTAGAAACTCCACACCCACCTTAGAGTCCATACCAGAAACCCAGGCCACCGGGCAGGCTTTAAAAATCCCGGTTCCTAAACTCAACTCAGACTGGTAGCTCCGCCTAGGGGTTTGGGGTTTAGCTTGAGGGGTTTCGGGGTCTGTGGGAAAATGGACTGTGCACGGCCTAGCGCTTGGCATGAAGCTCGAATGAAAAAAAGACTCCATTCCGCATAAGCCTAAAGCAGCAGCCGCAAACCCCAAACTCGGATAAGCATCATGCTACTGTATATCATCCATATTCCTGAACATGTCAAGACTGGTGCGGCTTCGAAACGTCAGCATGTTGGAGCTGCTGCGTATGCATAGAGATGTCAGTTCGAACTGCATATGTAAAGGATGTATAATCTATATCTGAATTGACCTCTATAGCCATCTGCATGTGTATCTCTATCTGTTTGGATATACCTATCTGTATACCTACACCTATACCTATATCTCTATGTCTGTACGTATGTCTAGATCAATATCTATCTGCTGTCACAGCCCTTTTGCGAACGCTGGAGGTAACCTTCATAAAACCCATACAGAACCTTTGCAGAACTGTTATCGTAACTCATGCAGTCACCCTTCTAGGAACCCCTGTAGCACCTCAGATATAACTTAGTAACCCCGGGCAGACACTTAAAGGTCTCTGCTGGGCCGTCCTGGAGGCTCCGCGGCACTTGAACCGCGTTGAAGCGGCGCTCGGGTCTCACGAGCTGCCGCCCGTAGTGGCCTCGGTTGCGCTTAGGATCGGTCTTTCCGTTAATTTGGAGCCTGGGACTGCTCTTGGTAGCCTCATTCGGTTGTAAGTTTGAGGTCGGAGTTTCAGGCTGAGGGTTTAGAGCCGAAGGCCTGGAGGCCTTTAGGGCAGCGGCTCAGGAACTGGGATCAAAAGGTTCACAAGGCCAAATTACCTAGGCACCTGATTGGCGGTGGCTTTCCGTGGACAACAGATGTCCGCCCCGCAAGTTCTCTTGGAGCTAAGCCCTCCGCTGTCTTGATTGTCCGGAACAGGTATGCCTGAGAGACGAGGAAGCAGAAGGGATTTTCAGAAAGCTCTATAAACTATATACCTACGGCAAAACGAACTCGTGAGACCGTGAGCCATGACCGCAGATCTCGAGGAACCTGTTGCTTCAAGATTTGCACCGCCAAACTGTGTCGGCTTATGGTCCAAGTCCAAGGGTTCAAAGTCTCGAGCCCCTAGCGCTCAAATTGTACGAGGACCTCCCCGCACGGCCGGTGGCGGCCTTGCGAGGCTCGAAGCTCGCCAATAAGCCGCGCTGGGCGCCAGTTCGGCACGTCAATGACGGGATGATAGAACCTGGCCGCAGGATTTGGGGTTCCCAAATAACGAGCAGTTTGCGGGAGATATGGACGGCCATTGCTGGCCGTGCCACAGGCCAGAGGTTGTCAGGGTGCTCTCCTGTCTGTATCACGAACAACATGCCGGCAACACTGCTTGAACGGCACGGTGATCCAGCACCTTAGCATCCCAGCCCATGGCATCCTAAGCAACGGAGCCCATGGAAGCCCGCAAAAAGCCAAACATTAAGAGCTGCGCTTGCAGACTACCAGGTCGGACATCAGTATTCTGTCCTGCAACTCGCAGCATGGACCGTCCCCAGTAGTATCGCTGCATCACCCCATAACGCAGCCTGAACCCTCCAACGTGCGCAGCCACCCTCAGCCACAAGTCCACTTTGCAGTACATACAACGTAAGACCTTAAAAACTGCGATGAAGCGGGCTGACCGGCTGTCCCGTTCACGTGCTCTTTGAGTCCAGGTTGTCGACTGCAATTAAGGTCCGGAGATGGGGTTTCACTGTTGGGGATATTGTTAGGCTTTCCCATGTAGCAGGTGCGCATCAGGAATGGCAAATGCCTCTAAACCTAGAACTTAGCCTCCAAAACCTTGACCGTGCAGTCCCCAAAAGCATTCGACCTCAACCCCTAAAACCCAAATCCAAATCCGAAACCCCTAAAACCTCAAACCGGAGTAATCGTACAAGCCTGAAGCCGCAAAAGACCGCAAGAGCCACAAACCTTCCCGCTAAGCCCCCAACCTCTGAAAGCCCTGAAGCCCTGACGCCCAAAACCCTAAACCCCAAATCCCTAAAGAACCATAACCCTAAACCCTAAACCCTAAACCCCAAATCCCTAAAGAACCCTAACCCCTACAACAGCCTAAACCCAAGTAGCTCCTCGAAAGAAGCCCGGAAGTGCCCTTTGACACCTTCGGCCTGGGTAGCGCTGAGGGGGCGAGGCGTTATGGTGTGGTCGTCGAAACCCTACCCTTAGGGTTCAGGGTTTAGGGTTTAGGGTTTAGGGTTTAGGGTTTAGGTACCCAAATAGCCCCTGTGATGAAGGGAATACGGAACGCACGACGCTCAGGCAGTGTCGTAGATCCGGGCGCAGGCGGGTGCATAGAACTGAAGGAAAGAACGAGGAACTCTCTCGGGGATTTGATTTATAGTCTCCCGGAGTACCGCAAATCTTCGTGACCACCTGACTCTCAGGATCCGATGATCTCGCCAGTGTTCGAGGCTCCAGGCGCCCAAGGCATCCCAAAGATCCGATCAAACTGAACTCTGCACAGGCCTTCTTGACTTCGCCGCGGATGCCACTCACGGTCTGGATCTTGGCATGCATGTACTTGTTCACCTGCAACACCCCAGAAGCAGAAGCCCCGTGCCAAAGACAAAAGCCCGCAAGAGCGCCCAAAGGCCTGATGGAGCCACGCTAAAGTTATCGTGGAAACATGATCATTCTAAACTCTTCAAAGGGCACAAACGCAGCTCGACCATGCTCATGGCTTCAGTCCTGGCTGAAAGCAGCTGTGTCAAGTACCAATTCCATGCTGCCTTTGAGCAGAGGATCCTAGATCCATAGACCAATACCCGAACACCCGGAGACCCGAACATCCTAAGATCAGTTGGGGAAATCAAGAGCTTCGGCCCCTAAATACCACTGCCAAACCCTTCAAATCCAATAGTTCCACAAGAACACATGAAGACCAAGCTCCAGACTCTAAACCAAGAACCCCTCTGGCACTTGGAACCCCTTACACCCTAAATCCTAAACCCGACCTCCAGGTCCGAGCTGAACATGTTCTTCACGAAGGCCGTGTTCCGGAAGATCTTGTAGGGCCTGAGCACGTAACAGGCTGTTCAGGGTTTGCCGGGGCTTAGGGCAAGTTTAGGGCCTAGGGGATGTGAATCTTGCGTGTTGCGTGTTGAGGAGTTTGGCACCCAGGCCGGGGCAGAGTTTTTTCCAGGTCTCTGAAGGCCAAGACAGTTTCGAATCGGATGAGATCTGTTTTGGTGCATCTACGGCCTCAGGCATCAGGTCCTCAGGTGTGGGGACCGCAGACGGCGCGTCTCTCCCAGATTTTCAACAGAAGGCTCCGAGAATTGCCGAGAACACCACAAAAGCTAAAATGCGGTGCAGAAAAGCCCACAATTCACGAACCGGAATGCTGCACGTGTGACCCGATCACACATCCTGGGTGGCCAGCTCACCCACGAGCTTAAGCTTCTTCTTCACCTCAAAGTTCGGCGCGGCCTCCATCACCTGGTCTTAGCTCCCCGTGGTGATCGGAGGCTGCGATGCTTGAGATGCGCCATGTCGAAGCTCCCTACAGCGATCTCACGAGCCCAATTCCTGCTCGGGAAGTCTCGAGTGTAGACTGTCCTGTGGGGGTCTAACATCCGAAACCCTAACAGCCCTACATAACATAGGAGACCTGGAGGCCTGAACCCCCAGAACCCCGAGGCATTCTTAAACCCTAAACCCCGCAACCTACATCCGTTAACCTTAAGCCTGAAAGTCATTGCAGGGTTTGAGGGTCCCAGGCTCAGGGATCTCAGGCTTTCAGATGCCAGCTTCCGGTACGTAAATGCAAACCGTAAAGAAAACATTTAAGGGGGCTTGAGCTTCAAGGTAGAATTGTCAAGGGCTCAGGGTTGAAAGCTTTGGGCTCATCGCCAGCAAAGATTTTCAGCTCTGAGGATGCCAATGCGAAGAATGGCGTTGTTCGACACATAAACGAATAATGGTCAAAACCCGAAGGAAGGCTGATCATGGCAACCATACAGACTGCTTACTTAAGCTAAACCCAAAGCGCAGAGCTGAAGATGGCCGACTGGGCTTCCAGCGACACCAGTGCCACACACCCGGAAGTGGCCAACTTTCTCCCAGCTCCTGCTCCAAGGAAATTGGGGTTGAAAGGCCTTGAAGACCGCGCTTGTTGGCCTGGCTTTGTACTTGCAGGATGCTCATGCGCATGAATGTATGCATGCATGCATGGATGTCGTTCTTGAAGCTTGTATGCGAATTTGGGACTGTACACCTCTGTTTATATCTGTGTATGCATGCATGTGTATGTATGTCTCTCGCTCCCCTTGGGAATTTACAGGGCTTTCGTCTCGGCACGGGTTATCTAGGGTCGTACGCGGATCGAAGTTTACGCGAGCTGCTACAGGACTGAGAACCCTCGAAACATGGGGAGGGCGCTCGGTCACGTATCCAGGTGGGCTTCGAAGACCAGCTCTCCCTTGCAATCACTCGAGCAGCCTGAACGCAAGGATTCCCGTATTGGGTGGAACCATAGGTCCATAGCCTGGCAGACGAGAGAACGGTGAAGAGCTTGGCATTTTGGTTCGCAACAACCACGATTGGAAGCACTGTGTAGCAGTGACATCTTCAGACTGGCAGAGCAATGCTGAGCAAACAGCTGGTCATTGTGCAGTGGGCATGCTCCAACGTGTACTTCAGGTAGCGCATGCCTCGGCGATGCAAATGAGCGAGGATCTCGAGTCTATGCCCGTGGTTTCAAGGTGTTTGGCTCATGGTTCGGAGCACAAGATTTCGAAGAAGAGCCTCGGTACGCTTTGCGGGAGGAGACTTTCGGCATTGTCAAGCCTTCACTCGCTTCCGTCACTCCCCAGTTTCGGGTGAAACACAACTAGGTTACGGCCCTAAGACCTACGTATTCACCTGAGCCGCGCAGGGAGACTGGACAAGGACCAAGATAGGGCTTTGTACCGTGCTCCTGAGCATCTGACGCTTCTCTCCCCGGTCTTCCAAGGAGAAGCACGGCACAGTCCTCAGCTGGCTTCTCGGGAATCTTGGAGGCAAATTGGCAAAGGAGCTTCCGTCTCTCGGTTCGGTTGCTGGCTCTGAAAGGATCCAGCTTGCATAAAGGCGTGTAAGTATTTTGGATGGTGCTCCGTACCAAGCCAAGGATCTGGAAACGTCTCCAGCCAACCGACAGAAGCAGGGCGTCGGAACTCTTTAGCAGCTTCGGATGCCATCGATGTCGCTTGATCCTGGTCTGCACCTCGCCGGGCGTCTTGTATCAGGGTCCCAGACAGAAGAAACAAGCAAGGGGGCAGTAAGGCGCTTGCCAGGCCCATCCGGGACTCACCCGGTAGTAAGCCACCAAGAATCAGTGGCCTCAGCCGAGCGCAGGCAAAACTCTGAATCCTAAGCATGCACTGTGATATGTGATAAAACACCCTTAGTACCATCTATCACGCAATCCCTTCTTTCAGACAGTTAACTTGGTACAAGAGGGTGTTAGCATATATAACAGGGACTATAAGAGGAATGTATTACAGTACTAACGGGCTGAGCTCTGGTGCCTCTCCCCACGCATCGCTGCGACACAGGCAGCGGGAACATCCTCTACACAGGAAGGGCTGTCAAAGGCGGGTGAAAAACATCTTGCATATCTACTTCTCTTTTCTGTGTACATGCATACATATGCCTATATATACATATTCACAGTCGTATTCATATTCATACTCACATACAAGTACATTCTATACATATGCATATACATATACATATACATACACATATACTAGAGTACCACATAGATAACATACACCTGTCTGTATACATATACGCAAACATACACATACAGATATGTGCGTATGACACATATATATATATATACACACACACATATATCTGTATGTGTGTATATATATAAATACATATGCATGTGTGTGTGTGTTCACGTGCAAGTATTTGTATATACATACTCTAGTGCCTCATTATGTCTTGTGAGGGCTAACTCAACTTCTACAGAAGTTCATTTCCAGTCTGGGATACCTGCCCCATCGCACTTTTAAACCACACACTACACTCCAGTTTAGAGTTCGGACAGTCGTGGATGCTTGCATCAGGCACTGTCTGATAGTCCTCCAGACGTATTCGCACGAAGGTGCCGATCGGAAAGCCTGTCGAGTGACAGCTGTTCAGTGAGACTCATGCCAGAGCGACAATAGATTTGTAACAACCCTTATGGCCCTAACCCCACCCCTCAATTCCCCGGAACACAGGCTGCTGGTAACAGGTCAGCCGCACTGTCCGAGAAGTTCTCCAGCAGGCCGTTCTCGGGGGCACCACCGTCTTCCTCCGCGGCGCTAAAAGCCGTAGCAACTTCAAGCAGGTGGCAGCATGGCGACTTCCGCTGTTACTGCCGTTAAGGTGGCGTACCACGGCTTACCAAGGCATACTCCTACTCCTACTCCTCCTGCTGCTGCTCATACTGCTACTGCTACTGCTACCGACTCCAAGTCCTGCTCCTGCTGCCACTGCCACTGCGACTGCTACTGCTACTGCTGATCCTGATCCTGATGCTGTGGCTGTTGCTGCTGATGCTGCTGCTCCTGCTGCTACTACCACGGCCATAACGACAGCCACGACTTCAAGTGCTTCGGACATCTCAGAAGCCAGCCTTAAGTTTCACAGCATCCAGCTAGCCCCACACCCTTTAACACTCTGCCGTCCTTACTACACTGCAAACCCTTAGGCTTTCAAACCCGTTTTCTCTCCTGCTTCGGCTTCTCAGCATTCTCGCCATCCTCGACATTCTCGGCGTTCTCGCCCTGGCATGTCCAATTGAAAACCTTTGGTGTCTCGCACAACACAGGCATTGGGCACACGAACGTCAAGCTATATCTCTCTTCTCTACTCCGCCGACCCACCCACACATATAAATGAAAAGCCGAAAGCCCTCCACAAGAGTTTAAGCAAGGCAGCAGCAAAACAGATTTGGTTAACCAGAGCTTTCATCGAGGATGCGGGAGGAGCGATATAGTAGCAATATCTTGGGGGAAGCTTACATCCTTGATGATTGCGCCCAGTGCTTCAAAAGAGGGAATGCTGTGGGGTTTCGTGCCCGCTACGCCACATGAAGCCAATAGAACAAGAAACACAGCAAGAAAACAAACATCCACGGACATCTTAACTGACAGACAGCTTGTGGTAGCAGTCTTCTGGCTGCGCCAATCCTTCGTAGATCGTAATGACTTAAGAGCTTACCCGAAAAAACCTACACCCTGCTAATTTTACGCTTGGATCCAGAAGCCCTTTCCGCTCCTCTTCCTTCTCCTTCCCGTCCGCCTAGCAAACAGGCCGGTTCTCGTATAGGGCTTCAAGTTTTGTGGGTTCCAGGTTCAGGGCCGAGGGGCCTTTGGTTGGAAGAGATCGGTTTAGGGTTTAGGGTTTAGGGTTTAGGGTTTAGGGTTTAGGAGTGGATACGTGCAGCATTGCCTTTGCCGCAGTGACGGCGAAGCAGAGCCTTTGGGGCCGCACCGTGCAATACTGGGCAAGCGTTGGCCGGTCGTGAAAAAGTTGCCCGCCGACGGCACTTAGGGTCCACTAGGCTTTTCAAGAAGCCCTCGGGAAACCTGAGTTTCGGATCATGCGCTCCGGCGTAGGGACCGGGGTGGTGCCGATGTTGAACATGACTCGCAGATTCACCTGAGTCTATACCTTGCAGCAACCGGAATCTGACATCTGTGTTTGCTCCTCCGGTACGGCACGCAGGAAGGCTAAGAAAGAAGTGCCTCGATAATCGAGCTGGCCACTGCTAGATGGCGAGTCCATAGAATTAAAAGAAAATAGAATCGAGTGGCCATCGATCCCATTGTTGGTAGACGATCATTCTTATTACTGTTATGTTTATAAGTTTGTGGAACATGTGTTGTTACTACTGTTGCTACTATTTTGAATATTACAGCTATTGTCATTGTTACTACAATTGCTGTTCTGACTATTCTGATCATTGGTAACAGTATTACTTCATTTGCTGTGTTTATGATGATGACTATGACTATGATTACGAGTAATTATGAGTATTAGTATGATTATGCTTGCGGTTTGACCAAGGCTATGATTATAGCTGTGACTCTTAGTACTGTTGTCATCATGCTTATCATCATTGTTGGAGTTATTCTTATCGCTATCGATATCATTTCCAGTACTACTGCTACTACTACTACTACTACTACTACTACGACTACTACTGCTACTACTACGACAAATTTTATCTCACCAATATTGCTAGTAGTAGTCGCCGCCATATTCTTGCTAATGTTATCAGTACAGATAAAGTCGTTTCTTGGGCAATACCAGTTGTTCTTTTCTCTGCATTTAAGTGCTGCCTACGATGACCGGGCACTCACCGCGCTAAGGCCTCGTCAGCCTCTGGGTCGTCTTCCTCGGCGGAGCTCCAACCGCCTCGGAGTCATGATGTTCAGCGTCAGTGTCTGCAACCCCCTCTGCTGACTACTACTACCACCTTTGTCAGCACAAGCACTACCACTACGACGAGATCGTGGCGACACCGACGACAGCGCCAACTACTGCTACAACTACGACTACTGCTGCTACTACAACTGAAGCGATGTTGCTGACGACGACGGTGACGGTGAGCAAAATATGAACATCAAGGCTGCCATGGAATTACCAGGTAACAACGGCTACTATCATCACTGCCGCCACTGCCGATACTGTCGCTAGTAATTTCTGCATAGTTGCACCATTTCGCTACCAAATTGGAAACCCTAGCAGAACAAAGGCGATGCAACGATAACTGTTATCTGCAAGTCGTAGAACCATTCGCATCGTTGTTGTGAGCAACCTCATTATTTACTGTTACCGTCTTTCTCTTTGCTGTTGATATTAAATGTCACCTATATTACGAAACTTGTTCTTCTGATAACCACCATTTTAGCAGGGCGGAGTTCTTTAACCGAGAGCTGATAAACAGTCAGAGCCTGAAACCTGGGTGATCCCAGACCCTCCCAGGCACTCCAGCGGCGTAGCCGAGCCTCGGGCCTGTGATGAACTTCCGGGCCTCGTGGTTCTATTGAAGTCGGAACCCCATGTGACTCGGGGCTTTGAGGGGGCCTACAGCGCTCCTGGTTTTCAACGGGGGTTTCCCGTGAATTTCAGGATCTCTTTCTCGATTCAGGCACCTGCAACACCTTAACCCCTAAAGCTCCAACTGCCCCAAGCTCGGAATAGCTTCCAATCCTGAAATGATCCTGGCTGAACACACGAAGCCCCAAGCTCTCATTCACAGCACGGTGAAGCTGACCAATTGAGTCATAGACACCAGTACATGCCAAGAACTCTAGTGTGGAGTTGTTGGCATGTAATGGATCCATGCATGCCGCTCACGAGTATTTTATCACTTTCTCCGAGGTTGCAATCAATCAAAGCAGCGGGCTGCAATGATTCAATTCTATTCAATTGTGAGCAGGCTCAGATCTGTCCACGGCGGACTTTCGCGTAGGGTTCAGCCGTGACCGCAAACAGGCTGTCTCCTAACCAACCGAAATCGCCAGCAATACAACCCGACAACCGATGTAAGCTGTTCATGACATGCTACGGAAACCTGCTACAGCCACCAGAAACCGCGAATCCCGATTAAGCTCTCCTCTGCACCTGACTGTCCCAACATCAAGAAGACCCGGACACAGGCGCACAGACAACCCGAAAAGCACCACCCAACACAACCGAACCCAAACCTGATGCCCTCCCAACAACAGCCCTCTCAAGCCTTCGACAGCTCGTGCAACCCTACCCTCCTGTTGTCGCAAAGAAAGTCTGGAAAGCCGGGACATGGAATGTCAACTAAAAGCAATGGCAAGTGTTGAACACTTGGTCACATCAGGCACCATATCAACCCAAAACACTATAATCGCCGTACATACATCTGAAAGTGACGGTTGTCACAAGAGGCATTATCCCGGCATGATGGAAATTGTGCTTATATCACTCGCGACATGTTTGATCATGCGAGTACCACTATCGCAGCCGTTGCCACTAGCACCTTTACTTGAGATATGGGAGTTTCCGGAAACAAGGGGTACCTTATTTTGGGGTCCTTATAATGAGGATCCTACTATTTAGGGTACTATACTAGGGTCCCCTATTTTCGGAAACCCCCATATCCCCCCTTTCGCAGCAAAGCTGGGCCTTCAGTTGCTCTTTCCTCTCTTCGCTCCAGGGCTTCTCCTGCGAAGGAAAGAAAAAAAGGGCTTGGGGGAAAGTTGGGGCGGAGGGCTCGGGGTACTGGGGGGAGTTAAGGGGTATTAGGGTGTTCTGCAAGAATCTGAAGGGGGCTGTAAGGTCTATAGAGGTCGAGAGGAGCTTAGGGAACAAAGCCATAGCAACGAACAGACAAAACAAACACTGATTGCAACGATGAGAAGAACCGGCACAGCAGAAAAAGATAATGAGAGCTCATCATCAAGGCTGTGACTCCCTGGCCTGCCCGGGCAAAACTGGCATGCGGGCGGTGTCCAAAGCGTTCGAGTCGCCGACATTGCCCAGCAACCTGTCCAATCCGTGAGGAGCAGCCTGCTTATCTTGAGTAACCCTAAGTCAAGAGTTCTGCGCCAGCCAGGAAAGGTTACATGAACGGACTTTGAGAAGAGAGGTGCAGCAAGACCAATCCACAAAATGACACGAGGCAAGGGGAGCCAAGACAAGGCACGACTCTCAAACCCCCCGACGAACCGTTCGGCAAGATGCTAATTAGCAGATTAGCATATAAAGATTGACATCTGCCACCTCGCCGTCACTGCCTCAGCATCACTACCACCGCCGCCGTCATCGCCGCCAAATTACAGATAAAACGGGAAACACAACAACACATCGGCATGCTTGTCGTGACTCTGGGATCTTGCGCTTCAAGGCTAAGGCGTTGTCAACCTTTCTCCCCAGCGTTCTCCGATTATCTCCCTTTATGTTGCGTGGTTTTCTGACGAATGCGGGTGTTCGGAAGCTCCTTTCACAACCTCTTTAGTCAACGATGCTGGCCACAGCAACAGCATATAGAAGTGCTTATAGAAAGACAAGAGGCTTTGTCGTGTCTTTCCTAAATCGTGTGTTGGCTCTGCCAAGTTCTTGGAGATCCGTCTCCCCTCCCCGAAACCCTGAAACCTAAACCGGAAACACTAAGCACGAATTTCTTGCTGGGATCTGCGGGGCTTTCGGTCGGGCTCAGCGCCCTTGTTATCCAATAAGTCTTTGCTCCCCTCCATTCTCTCGCTGTTTCCCTTTTTGCTCGTTCATATGGGGCTGGTGCGGGCGTGTTCTGCCAGGAGTTTCAGGGATGCTGTCAGTCCTGGTATGTGCCGGGTGCCGGTGGCTGCGCTTGGTCTTTGGAGACGTTTCTCCTCGATTCTTCCTTGTCATGCTGGGTCGGTGCTGGTGGGCCGTGTGGTGACTGCGGAGGTTCGTCTCCTCTCGCACTCTCTTCTATCGTATGTCCTTATCCCTATCTGAATGTCGGTTTCCCACCCGTTTCCGCCTTGTGTCGTACATCGCGCCCCGGGTCTTTCCGTTTTCGTCTCCAGGTCCAGGTGCGAGCGTTTCCTACCGCTGTACTCCTTCGCACACATGAAACCCTATTATGAAACCCTAGACCTTCCAAGCCGAAGCCCAGTGCCTTCTCTGGCTCTCTGCCTGCCTGGCGCGAGGGGTTTAGGCTACGCTCAGGGTCTGGGTGCCGTCTGGGTGCCTCCAGTGCCTGATCATGCAGCTCATGTCGCAGCTGATCATGTCAGTAATCCAACATATCCAGTCGAAAACACGTGCAATGCTAGGGAGACAGCAGTCACAGGGATGCGAGGGCATGTTTGTGGCAACGCCTCGAGGTAGGGGCATCCTCCGCGCCCTCCTCGTCGTCCTCGTCAAACCTCGGGACAAGCGGGCTTCAGGAACGGGAGGGTGGTGTTCCCTGTTGGACTCCGGGCTCCGAAGCTCGTAACTGAGTACAACAGAAGCCCAGAAGATGTCTGGAGCCGTTCTGGGTGTTAGGCTTTCTAGGGGCCTTTGACTTCGACGCACGCGCTGACTCTCTTATCCAAGAATCTCGGAGAGGAAACCGGGCTGGGGCCCAGATTCGAGGATACAACGCCTGTGTTGGATCGGACAGATAGGGCGTCCTAGGTCAACGGATTGGCGTCTGGGTCTCTGCGAAATCCGAAACCCTGGTCCCTAGACCCTGAAGCGACCGTGAAACCCTAACCCTTACAAGACCCTTATAGGAACCTAATAGAACACTTACAGTAACCTGACCCTGAAAGCCCAAACCCTCAAAGCCCTCAACGACCTGCCGAGGCGCAGAGGGACGGTGGCGTGGTCGGTGGGGCCGTGGCCGCCCTGCGTTCCCGGATCTTTGGAGGAAGCGCTTCCTGGAGGGCTGCGCTGGAGTCTTCAGGGTTTGAGGTTTCAGGGTCTTAAGGGGTTTAGGATTTTAGGGGTGTGGAATTTTAGGAGAAAGGAGTTGTTGGTTTTGCTTGGCAGGTCATAGAAGGTTTCAGGGTTCAGGCGATCGCGAGCCTCTATCTTCGGATAAGGGTTTAAGTGTTGAATCCTGATAGGAAAGCACCCTAGTTGCGTAAGTTTGGTAGTAATAGTGATAATTGGCGAACTGTAACAGGCGTAATAAGTATTACATCGTGGAAACACAGATGGATGTGTCTCGGCATTATGTACGCCTAAACATATTTGTTTAAATGTTGCAACGTGTATTCATTCATGCTTTTTCTGGCTATCAAAACGTGTTTGTCATCATGTATTTCTGTTTTGGTTCGGTGGTTTTCTATTTTGAATCATTCATGCGTATTCATGTTGGTGTTTTTGATTACAGAAACACATATGTAGCAACAAAACTGTGATCATAATGTGGTAGCGTGTATGGGTGTTTGCGTGACAGGCAGACAGACAGACAGACAGACAGACAGACAGACAGACGGCCAGCGAGCCAGGCAGGCAGGCAGGCAGAGAGACAGACACAGACAGGCAGACATGCAGAACGCCTTAGGTGCTTCGGGGCACCTCCGTGCTGCTCCTGCAAGCGATCCCGGCCGTAGACCTCTGGGACTGAACCCTTTTTCAGGCTTCCGGCTGTTTTGTCCGATGGGCCCTTTTCCAACTGCTGGCACCAACATCACGACAGTTAGGCGAAGTCTCAAGGGATTTTCGTAGCAACTCCAACCACCCCTCCTCAGACTCTCAATGCACACACTCCTCCACAACCCCGTATCAAGCACTATTCAACCATCACAGCGATACTCGCTAGGGACGGAAAAGGCAGGGAGGCAGAGGACTTTAGGCATTCGGGTTTGAGTGTGGCACGCTTACATTCTGAAAACTTGTTCGTACCGAACTCGTCTGGAGTCATTCTGAAGTGGAAACTTTACGTGACAATCTACAGAACATCGCAGAACCTTGTGTGGAAAAAACGGAGCCCACACAGCTTTCCTGTCTGGATGGGTTTAGGGTGTTGAGGCTGTGGGTTCTCACGAAGCTGAAGGGTTCGGGCCATCGGGCTTTCGGGTTCCAAGATTTCTGGTTTCGACTTTGTGCTGAGCTAGAGGTTGCACGCTTAAGCATTCTCAGCTTTGGGTCAGAGTCCCAGATTCAGGTGACGTTGATATGTTAGATGCCATGAAATACTAAGTACTCATCCTCAACAATACTGCAACCTAAATGCATACGCGACATACATGCACTTCGGCGTGGGATCGAGCTTGAGAGCACAGGTAATATACTGATTTCATTGAGCCTAAACCCGAAAACTCGGACCCTACTCCAGACGCTCAAGACTAGCCTGCAGGACAACTGTAGAACCCTTATCATCCTCAAAGAACCCAAGCTTACCCTGTGGCATCCCTTGTGGAACGGCTATAGAACCCTAAAGTAACTCTGGAACCGGCACAGACAATTTGTAGGAACGCTTGTAGAACCCCGCCCAGCCGAGCCCGTTGCCAGGTCTTCCAACCGCGGCCCCCGGGCGAAGCGCTGCTGCGCTCGCTCGAGCATCTCCTCGTCCTGGGGTTTCCAAGAAAGGTTCCTATTAGGATTCCATTGCTACGAGGGCCCTATTCGCGTTCCTACGCGTTGTACAAAGGTCCACATGCGTTTGTGAATATTGCCACTGGGATACTACTGGGTTCGACAAGGCCCTACTAGGGTTCCTACAAGACTGCTATGAGGGTTCCCAGAAGGGTTATAAAGATTATACCACAACGCCTACTACAAGGGTTACTGCGGGCTTCTTTTAGAGTTTCTGCACACTGCACAGGCTCTGCGGCGGCAACTATGAATGTTCCATGAGGGTAATAAGGCTTCCAGGGTTTCTGTACAAGGAGTGAGGGTTCTAGAACGGTTCTTACCAGGTATCTTGACAGGATTGCCATCACGGTTCTGAAAGTGGTCTGAAAAGAGCTGCCAAAGGGTCTCATGTTCCTTACAAATTGGAGTTCCTATAGGACTCTAGAATGGCAAATAGACAGTTATAATGTTCCTGTGAGAGTTCTGCGAGGATTCCTATCGGTAAGTTCGTTAATAACGGTTCTATATGGATTACTGTGAAGAGAATAGTATGAAAAGAGCGTTCTGGGCGTTCTAGGTTTCCAATGCTGGGGATTCTTCCAGAGGTTCCTGAGAGGGGTCTGTACTTTGCTGCCAACACCTTGGGGTGAAGGTAGCCCGCCATTCCATCACCTCCTAACTGGTTGCCAACACAGGGTTCTACCTGAGAGGGCCTTGGATCTAGGACCGCCTTTTGAAGAACTGTGCCTCCAAAGCGGGGTGGTGAAGCTATTTACCCACAAGAACGGCTATAAGCCTTAACATGCGCTTCATTCTGTCAGGTTATGGAAAGGGTCCGCTGGGGAACCTTCACTTCGACCATGCCCGAAGTCCTCAACCCGAAACCCTCATCATCAAGCCCTCACTCCAAAACCCGAAACCATAAACCTATAGTAACCCTCGTCAAACCCTTAAAGGAACCCTGCAAACCCTTATAGGAACCCGCTATAGAACCTTGGCAGTAACTCCAAATGGAACCCTTTCAGACACCCTCATAGCAAACCTTATCCGAAGCCTTAACCCTAAACCCTAAACCCTACTAACAGGTGGGGCTCCTGCTCTGCATCTTCTTCCGGGCACTCCTCCTCACCTTCCTCCTCCTCTCCCGAGGCATCCTTACAGAAGCGGATGAAGGTTCATACAAAACACCATAAAGCTACGGTTCTGGCTTAAGGGTTAGGCTAGGGGCTTTAGGGTTTAGGACTTCGGCTTTCTGGGTTAGGGCTGCTTGCGGGGTTTAGTAGGACTTAGGGTTCACGATTCTGGGTGGTTGAGGATTTTGGGCTTGTGGTTTTGGGTTAAGCTTGTCGGGCTGGTGGCTCTTCGGGTTTACAAAGGTGTGCCCCTTGCAGATCCCACTCTGTATGGAAAACGTTGGCTGTACCTGAGGACTCCCACCCTAGTGCAGCTCCACAGGGAAGGCTTGTCGGTTCAGGGGCGACTAGGAGCCTTCGGGAACTTCTTCGAGAATGCTTGGGCTTCTTGCTTTTGGATTGCGGGAGTTGGGTTCGACATTAACAAATCCTGAACGTATAAGTTCTGACTACCGTGTTCGCTCGACTGAGTCTGAAAAGGTCTTGGCGATGACTAAGACTGTGGCGATGGCCATGATTGAATTGAGGCTGTGCATATGGCGGCGTTGCCGGTGTCACGATCTGAGCCCACACTGCCACTATCACTACTCCCACCACGGTTCTGGACATAATTATCAGTTGTCATCACCGCCTGTTAACGACAGCGCAAACCCTCAACACATAAACTCCAAAGCTTAAGCTCGAGCAGGAGGCCTCCTGCTTCGCACCGATCGCCTCGGGCTGAATAGGCTTCTGCTTTGGATCATCTCTGCAAGTCTCTAACTACCGTAAAAATCAGTACAAAGATGGCAACAAGGAGCCGGAGGAGCAGCTGGAGACGGAGGCAGAGGACGAGGACGAGGAGGAGGAGGAAGAGTGATGATGGGTGTTGATGGATGGCTGGCTGCCTGGCTGGCTGACGCGGGCGATGGTGATGCTGGCACTGGTGGCGGTGGTGATGGTGGTGTTGTGACGATTATGGTGATGATGGAGATGGAGATGGAGATGGACATAGAGATAGAGGTGGAGGTAGAGGTGGAGATGGAGATGGTGATGATGATGATGCTGCTGCTGATGATGATGATGAGGAGGAGGAGGAGACAAGGAGGAGGATGAGGATGATGCTGATGATGAGGATCGTGATGATGATCATGATGATGGTCATGATGTTGATCATCATCATCACCATCATCATGATCATCATAACGATGATGACCGTGACGATGATGATGATGATGGTGATGGTGATGATGCTGATGCTGATGCTGATGCTGATGCTAATGCTAATGCTAATGCTGATAATGATAACGGTGATGATGATGGTGGTGATGGTGGTGATGGTGAGGATGACGATGACGATAACGATGACGATGACGACGATGACGATGATGATGATGGTCATGACGATCCTGATGATGATGATGATGATGATGATGATGATGATGATGATGATGACGATGACCATGACGAGGAGGACGATGAGGAGGAGGATGTGCAACTGCTGCTGGAAGCTTAGACCCAATTCGGAGACCGCTTCAAAGCTGGGTGAGAGATCTGGCAACCTGAGGCCTTGGGGAGATGGTTCTTACTTTCCGTTTAGATCTAGGCTAGAGCTTGAGGGCAAGTTCGGGACGTGTTTACTTCTCGGGCATGGAGTGTCCACCAAACCCTAAACACCAAAAAAAATATCAGAAAACACAAAGCCAAAAACCCTAAATCCCAAAATCCTTGAAAGAACGGTCGGATGAGGCTGCCACGTTCCCTTCTGGAGCCGGTCGCCTCTGGGGCTGGTCTTCAGCCTTCCCTGGAAGAGGGCTTAGTATCATGCTTCGCTTTAAGGTGTGGTTCAGGATGTTGCGATTGGTCTCAAGGCATTTGGCTTGGTTCCCAATCGTTGTTTTTGCATCGGGCACATTGAAGCGCTGCGGAGGTGCCCCCTCAAGCAGCCGGGGCAAGAGTGTTGCTCAAGCCGGCTTGAAGCTTTCAGAACGGCTCCGTCATACTTGTTCGGTGTCAGAGAAGGGACGGAGGACGAGGGGAGTTGCACTGACCGAGCTCTGCTAGGACTCCGGATAGTGCAGCTGTCGATGTTAGAATTTGTCGGTCAAGTGGGGGAGGAAATACCACATTGTCCGGAGCCCGCAAACCCAGCCGCAGACCTTGACTCCAAACCCCGAACTTGGAGTAGCCTCAACCCTGGACCCACAGTTGACCGCGAGCAAGTTCACGATATTGCACTGGAAAACGTTATGTACTTCAAAGTCTTACTACACTACATTATGTCTTGTTCAATCTTGTTGCAAATATAGTACTACAACCTACTGCTGTTGCACTACATTACTTTCTACTATACTATCTTTACCTGTTACTGCATCGTCAACTTTCCAAGCCGCCATCCGCCTGAGGCATCCGTCTGGTCCATGCGAACTTCTGTATCCCCAATCAGGCGGAGCTTAGCGCGCCCCTCCGAAGCCTTCCGCATGGAAGGCTTAGGGCCATTTTTTTGGAAATATTGCAACATTGTTTGGGCAAAGCGGTTCAGGATTTAAGGCTTCAGGGTTGGAGGGGCTTTGTGGCTTTTGGGTTTCTGGGGCTTTCGAGTTGAGGCTACGGGGGTTTAGGGAATGCGGGCTTAGGGTTTGAGGCTTAACGATCAAGGCTTTTGCTGAAGAGCTTTTTCTCTGCGATTCAGGGAGCCCGATCAAGTACTGCGCGAGTCCCCCACGACGGTCGAATCGCTAACCTCGAACAGCTCAAAGGCCTGGAATCCCTAAACCTTCAGACAGTCCAGTGCTGGATCAACTCAAACCCTTGAGTCATGCTCCCTCAACCCTCAACGGCCTAAACTAAACCTGCATCAAGTCCCCCCATTTTCCACCCCTTCAGAGCCTTGTCCAGGGCCGCCTCCGACGTCTGCAGAGCTCTCACCTCCGCGAGTTGGGCTAAACCCTAAACCCTCAACCCTAAACCCTAAACCCCTAAAATCTTCTGGGGCTGCACGGATTGAGAGCTTGGACTGCGATCGAAGAGCTCGAACGGACCCAGTCCTTCTGTCCCGAAGCTCACGATCTCCTCGCTAGAGCTAAAGGCAACCACCGGAGCTGCACACAAGAAGCGACATCCTTTGCAAAGCCCGAAACCCTCAACCTCCAAACTCCAAACCCTCAACATCCCCCACCTCCAAAATAATTCACTCTAAACCCTGAACCTGTCTTAAGACTCGGCCCCATGCGAGCCGCACGGCTTCCGGAAGCTGCTCCGGGTCTTTCCTTGGACAGTTGCAGCTTTGTATCAGCAGCAGATGCTGCTACTACCTCTACTTGAGGAGGGGCTACAAGAGGTACAGTAGTGGGACCAGGGCTTGGCTACGCCTATAGTTCCCGTGGCTGTTGTGGTTTCAGGTGCAGCGCGGCAGCAATGTCAGCCAGCAGTAGCACACAGAGGGCCTCTGCAGAGGTTTCTTCCTTCCTCGGCCTCCGCCTGCTTAGCAGTACCAGCACTCGAGCGAGTGTTACTGGCGCGAGCAGCAGCAAGAGTAGTAGCTTTGCTCAGATTAGGACGCAGAGCGGGTAACAAGAGTGAAGAAAGCGCCTGCTTTCTGCAAACTCCAGCCCGTTCACAGGAAACATGCTCCCTCATTCCTCAACGACGACTGCGTGTACCTGACGACTGTCTCAAGAAAATTGCGTAACCGTGCTTCGCGATCTCCACTCGCAACACGACACTCCAACTTATATTCATCCAGCACCCGCACAAAACCCTCCTAGTAGCCCTTTACAAGCTCTCCCGAGAAGACGAGTGTCTGCACGCTCTGCTCGTCCTTGGGAGTGAAGCCTGCCTGACGCGATGGCGAGAAACATTGGGGAGGGACAAAGGACACTGATAGCACACTGATGGTGACGAAAAATCGACAATGATGGTGATGGCGATGATGTTGATGATGATTGTGATGATGATGATGATGATGATGATGATGGTGATGATGATGATGATGATGATGATGACGACGATATACCCAATATTTTTTTGCTCTATACATTGCCATATATATATATATATGTTTATATTTATTATAACACCTACTTCTTTTAATATTTCATCTGTCACTGCTTTAGCCTTTGCTGTATCTCTCCAATTATAGAAAATTAAGTACAACATTCGTGACTGTTTTGTAAATTTCTCAAGTAAACCCAATACTTTAGTATTCATTACCAGTTCAATCTGTGGTTCAATATTTTAACCCATATATGAACTTATTTTTGATGTTGTTGATTCTCCGTTTAAATGGATAAAATAGACTGTTGTATTTGTTCAATTTCCTTTATCGTATAGTGTAGAGCAGACCATAAATTGGAGTTGTCATACTATAATCAAATCTTAAATACCCATTCTTTCCTGTTATTATTAAAAATTTCCCATACTTTTGCACTTTTCATGTAAACAGTCATTAGCAACCGTACCGACACATGATTTTCCACCGTATTTATCTTTCTCAGCAAGATAAGTCTTAGGCACACTGTATATTATGATGTTTTTGCCTTTTTTAGTGTCTAATTCTTCTATATTTTCTTAAGTCGTTTAGCTGAACTAGGACCAATAGAACCGGTATAACTAATATCACCAATAACATCCAGGAGGGCGCTTGCCGAATGCAGCATAATGCAGCCTCGCTGTTTTTGGCTTCTGGGCGCCACGATTGACACCAGCACGCAGCAATCGTGGACAGATCAGGGCTATGCCTACATGGCCATTGGCGCGGTATCCACGGCCAGCACTACCACCCGGCTACAGTACTTGGCATTCAGTATATAGCATCATCGTTCGCATAACTTCCGAATACTCGAACTCATACGAAACATCTCATAACCGGCTAAGCATTCTCTGATAGTATCTAATGTTGCTCCCTTACGGGGATCAATGCAAGAAAGACTTTGGGATGCGCAACCCATAGAATCGGAATCATTCATGCACATGTTGAGTTACGGCTCTACGGATGATGATGATGATGATCACGATGATGATGACGATGATGATGACGATGATGATGATGAGGATGATGATGAGGATGATGAGGATGAGGCAGAGGATGAGGAGGATGAGGCAGAGGAGGAGGAGGAGGAGGCGGAGGAGGAGGACGATGATGATGCGCATCCGCTATCCTGCACAACCAATGCGCAGCAGGCAGCAGTAGGGTTGACCGGCGTGCCTGCTGATCGGGCACATAGATGTACATCGCCTGCCAGTGTGCTCTATCTCGAGACAGGGCGGGGGAGGGCCACACAGATTCTAGATTCTAGATACTCTCTGAATTATCTTTGGGTCCCCGCACCTGTAGACTTGCATCAATCAATCCTTTCGCACCCTGAGACCCACGATGACCCACGGAAAAACTGCCCTTTCGTGGCTTCGAGGTGACCTACAGCACAGAAATCCTTGCAAGCTGTGATACACTGAAGCTTATCACTTTCAGGGCTACCTTCAGGATTGTGCTAAAGTGATTACACTAAAGCGTAGTATGCGGTGCTTTAGAAAAGGTGCTACAACGCACAACACTGGTCAACATAATATGTTGTAATGGCCACATGTCTCCACTGCCTCGGAGTCCACGGTGATGCTGCCAATGTCAGAGCCGGGGGCATAGACAATGCGATGTCGTTCGGCCAGGGTCCGGAGCGCGTTCTTCTTGGGCCTAGGGCAATCAGGTCGTGGACCAGGATGTTCCCATCAGAACTACTGCGGAAGGTAATGTCTCCACTGAGGATGCATCCTGGAGGTGTTGAGTCGACCCTTACTTATCCCCAGCCGAACGCAATTCAACCCGAAAGCCTAAAGGCCATCGACGTAAATCAGTTCCGCAAACTCCTAGGCTCTACAGGGAAGCCCATAAAGTTGGAACATGGATTTAGGACAATATGTGCTAGGACCCTTATGCTTTACCTTAAGGGCACCGGGACAATGATGTTCCAACTTTGTGGCTTCGACGTGAAACTATGCAACTCTGCAACCCGTAACCTCAAACCTAAGAGCCAGACTTCTCGTCCGTTTTCTTGCTCGCTCTTCTTCGCTCCGCCTCCGTCTCCATGGGCGGCGGGCACCTTGTCACCCGTCGAGGTTTGCGGTTTCACGCAGGCCTGTAGGTTGTTAGACTGTTGAAGCGGCTTTTAAGGTCTCTACTGTGCTGGAGTAGAGTGTTTCCATTGCTCCACACACCACCACACAACGCACGTGCCTTTTGCCGTGCATCCAGACTCAGGCTTCCTAGCCCACCCACCCAGCTCATGAGGCGGAACAGGCTCAGGTGCTCATGAAATTCGCTTTAGCTGCCTGGTTTGGCCTGATGATGCGATTTTGTGGCTGGGCTGTGCTAAGATCGGTGGCGACGAAGGAGTTGAAACTTCAGCTGCACGCGGCAACGCGATGCGACGCGTGTCCGAGTGCTTGGACCAAGGCGAATGCCCTACGAACAAACATTCTTCTCGGCCGTTTATACGATCCTTCTTGCCTCCGATGCCCGCCATCCCAAACCGGACTCGTGCATCTGCGTAAATCCCAAATGTACCCCAGATAGCACAAGGAAAGCTAGGAAGAAGCTCGGAAGAGGCCGCGAAGAGCCCGGGAGGTAAGCAAGATGACAGGAAGATAACCAAAAACATAAATCTTGTTGGTTCAGGGGTTAGGGCTCATGGCTTGGGGACGTTGGAGTTCCCAGGTCCCATGAGCCAAATGACATAAAGCCTGAGAAAAACCTCCATCCACCCCCGAAGACATGCCGGGCTCACGGGTCGGGGAGGCGCTTGATGGAGCTGATGTTGAAATCGCCTTCTGCCAAAAACTCGTATGTCGGCAGGCATTTGTGCATCACATCCACACGTAAGCCATATGTCTATCTATCTACCCACCTAGCTACCTACCTTGCTACTTACCTACCTACCTACCTACCTACCTACCTACCTACCTACCTACCTACCTACCTACCTAGATACCCAAGCACCTTCCTGCCTAACTACCTTTCTTGTTGCCAATCTCGCTTTATCTGCCTATCTGTCTATCTACCTGTCCATCTATCCATCTACCTATCCATCCATCCGATCTATCGATCTACCGATCTATCGATCTATCTATCCAGCAACCTATCCACATGTGTGCAGCTGCGGACATCAGTGCATGCAAGCATTTGCACACCGACGCAAGCACAGCACTATGCATTGCATGCGGTGGGTTTCTACAGCAAAATGTTGCACAATGCGTCTTTCTGAGCTGACCATGATCTCGTCCGCACTGCTGTTCCGTTGTATACTGGTCTATACTTCACTACACCACGACTACACGACACTGACAGCATACTATGCTATACTCTGCTCGGCTGGATGTTGCTTGCTCCATGCGTCAGTATGTGCAACAGAGAGAGGCTCCTACTTACAGTATGTGACGCTATCTAACACTTCGCCGCACTATGCTGCCGTAACTGCTAGGCCAAGCTAGACTCCTCTGTAACGTGTTGCATGAAGTTCTGCTTGTATGGATTCCACTTCGTTCTGCAGCTGGACGCTTTTGTCTTGACCCTTTTATCGGTAGTCCGGTGTCCCGGTTACTTTGTGTTCCGATGTCCAGTGTCCTGACATCCCGACATTTGCACGTCGAGATGTCACGGTTATCGCATGTGCCGGTACTCTTCCCGGCGTAGTAGTGTCTTTTGGCCCATTTGTTTCCAGGTGCCGGCTATTGGATGCTCGCAGTATTTTCGCGTCCTCGCGGGGCCATCGCCATTTAAATCCGTCTCGGTGCTTCTCGATCGTGATCGAGGTTTCGCTGTTTCCTGGTGTCCTGTGCTCCGATGTCTCAATGTCCACCCATTTCTCCGTCGGCCCTGGCTTTCCCCTATCGTGGTGTCTGGACTTTCCTGTTGTCGTCACACGTCAATGCTGTCACTCTTCAGATCGGATTGAGACGTCCAGCTTCTGCAAAGCCATGGCCTGAAGCCCACGGTGCCTCGGCCCCACAAACAAAAGCCTGAGCCACAGTGCCCGACGACCATCCATCCGGGAATCCAAAGCTCCAAAGTCCAAAGGAAGAGGCCCGCATCCCGCGCCTACGCCGGGAAGATGCACCTGGTCGCGAGTCGTGGCCGACGGAGGGGTGTAGGCAGTGGAGCGATGAGTTATCGAGGGATGGCCTTAAACTCGCTGCAAAGAACCAAAACATACAAAAGGATGTCAGCTCAAGCCTCGAAGCCCTCGCGCAGACGGCCTCCGTAGACCTTTTCGAAGGATGGATGGAGCTGGGCGGCACTGGCGTCTTCTGACTGAGCCCTCCGGGCCCGCTGAGCACCCTACGTAGCCGTATAGGTCCAGCCGCCTGGGAACACAATGCAAGCGACATCCAGACGCACTTTTGCTCAGAGGACTCCGAGGGCTTAAGCTTTAAAGGCTCGGAGGCAGCGTAAGCCCCAGGAAAGGCAGACAGATGCCGAATCGCCGAATCGCAGTAGGCTGGATCCCCTTAAACCGCTCCCAACAGCTCACGGCTTCGCAGCCGCAAGGCTGACAAAAGTGCCCAGGGCCCAGGGGAGCCCAGGGGAGCCCAGGCCTAGAGGGCAAACACCGCTCGTGACCCGCCTTGGAGCAGTCTCCGAGCTGGTCGGATCCGTCTTATCCTCCCACCTTGTCGGCTTCGGCTTCGAAATGTGAAGCAAGAAATGTAGGATTCAACCGCACACCCCAGACGCTGGGGTACGACTGCCGCCCGAACTGCCACCTACCTCTGCAGGCCGTAACCAGAATCCCCTACGGCCTCAAACCTCTTCTCAAACCATGAGGCAATTAATCCGAGAATTCTGCTTGGCAATGGACCCCACAAAAAAAAAAAACGCAAGGCCTGATCTCAAAGGATTAACAAGCCAGACTCTGCCCGGTCTATTGGAGTTTGCTGGGGGCCTTAGTAACTTTAGGCACTTGCGGGTCTGCGACAAACTTCCTCAACCCAGCCCCTCGAACACGGCTCATTCAAGCAAATCCGAAACGAACACAACCAAAAACCTCACCCACAGCTAGACACCGAAGTATCTCAGATGCCACTCTGCCACTCTGGCGCGCGCACCAACACGAAAGCACGATTATGCCCAGAACCCTGTTTCTGACGTCAAGCCTGAGCCCTTGACCCTTCGATCTCGCACACTTAGGCCTACAGCCAGCTTTGGGGATCCCCGCCGAAGGGCTGGAATATAGGGATGGCTTTGCCTCCAGGAGAGGAGAGGCACCTTCTGAACCTCGGCTGGGAATTGTGCGGGCGAGGGAAGGGGGCCTTGCCTGGCGAGTTGGGGCGGGAGGTTCCCGGTACATAGGCACTTGGCGCATCGGAAGGGTCAGCCCTCTGAGGCTCACGGCCCGATGGGATCAAGACTGGGACTGCGGCAGCGATGAAACGCGCCAGGTTCTGAATCTCAACCCGATGATAGCGCCTGGCAGCATGCAGGCTTGCCGAACCACTCCAGGAGCGACACCTTCGACTATCAGTTCCAACTGGAGCACTTCCAAATCTGAAAAAGCCTAGCAACCCCGAGAACATCGGGTTGGAGAATGGTTCATCCACGATTCATCACAAGACTGCCGGGTGGAAGCTTCGGACCTACCGAACCTGCGAACCTCTCCGCAGCCCCGAGATCAAAAAACGGAGCAGCCCGCCCGTATTGGAGGCCGCTCAGGTGGAACAACTTTGCGCCGTCGTAAAGCTCCGTCCTTGTATGGTTCATGTCGTGGGGCATTTCAGATTCGGTGGTTGGGGTTTGCCTCTGGGGTGGTCAAGCTTCCGAAACAACACGACGACTCAAGGGTGGCATCGGTCTGAGGCTGGAACCAGAACCGGTGCTTCATGCTTTTCTTGACCTGTGCTAGAGTGCATGACCACTCGAATTGTCAAGTTTCACGATGGAGCTGTTCAGCACGACACGCCACCTTTCGAAGCTGCTTGTTCTCCCGGAAGGCATCCAAATGTGTCAGGACACCTATGACCTTGGGAAACAACCAGCGGGAAAGGCTTCTCCACTTCCACAACAACGTTCCAGCGCGCTTGGCTACTGACCCTGGGAAAGCCATGCCTGTAGGCGCCACAACAACCCGCATCTCGAACAGCGACCGCCGCTCGACACACCAACACCACCGCCCCTCTGAGCCGGGTACACTTGAAGGATGTTGATGAACTCAAAAGTTTCCAGCTCGAAACCATACGACGCATCGATCAACAGCAGCACCTTAGGAAAGCTGCACTGCTCTTCCTAGAGAAGAACGAGCTGGCTTCGCAGACACGGAGGCGAGCACCAGATCGGCTATCTTCGCCAAATCCAACATTGCTGACATTTCCTGCAGCATCCAACAGGTTGTTGAAAATCGCAATCATGGAGGAAAGAACAACGAGATTGTTGTATCGAAGACTTCAAGCACACAAATGCTGCGATTAGGCCTGTGGACACTCGATGATCGTTATTCGTCGATGTCTTCCGCTGACCAGTGTGACCTTTGAAGTCACACAAGATGCCAGCTATGGAAACTTTCAAGCATGTCCAATTCCAAAACGGAGATGGCTGAGCAGGCGTACAGGTCCGCGCATTTGGATCAGGCGCTGCCTGAAGCTGCAAAGCATCAAGCTATCTCTCATGCGCGAACAGAAGGCCAATGCATCTTCCTGCGGGCTCCGGTCGACGGGTGTAAGACTCACGCTTCGCATAGTGTTTCACCAGCGAATGCACGAGTGTGGTCTTGCCAACACCTGTGCCGGGCTGGGGTCATATCAAACCAAAAGGTCTATCAGAAGAAATGTTTCAGTACAAACGGATCCCTAAATCTCCGAGTTGATCCTGGACGCTTTCGCGGCTTTAGCACCTGGCCTGGTGGCCCTTGCACGACGACAACGAACGGCGGAGGCACCTAACAGATTCGTCGGGGGCAAAAGGGGCCTGCTTTTGGGAGAAGGCACTCGACTCCATCACCCAGCCTCCGGATTCTTGTCCACTTTGTGCACTTTATCCTTCTTGGCCTGCCTTTCCAACGTGTACTGCACTCGCTTTTGTACCTTAGCCAAGCGGCTCTCAAAATGGCGGGCCTAACGAACACCGGAGTCCAAACACCGCAAGCTGTGGGCAAGTCACACTTCGAGTGCCGCCTGAAAAAGTGTGAGCCTTGGGATTGTGCTTGTCTGCCTCCCGGGCCAAACATGATGAGATCGATATCGGGTCGAGATTTGGTGCTCGAGAATCGTGTCTTTATAACGCATTTGCAACAAGAGTCTTGCGCCTGTCGAAATGCAAGGCTGGCTTCATCGCATTCGTGTATCCCTGCTGCCTGCAAAACTTTCCTGCTAAGCAGGGACTGGATGCTGAAACACCCTGCTGACTATGGTACTTCGCCATGCCCAAGCCCAAACTACCATGTTGCTTATGATGCACGTTTGATGCCTCGTGATGAACGAATGTGGAGACCAAGCACACGGAGCCTTCCCGACCTGCTTCTTGTCTTTCTTCTTCTTCGCTTTAGTGCCCGCTGCCCTGCCCAAGCTTCATATCTCTGCTGATGCCGGACTGCACTTCCAGGCGACCTCTTCCTGTGAGCTTTCTTGGGCTTGTCACCCTCCATGGCGGCGATATGATTTACGGCGGCATTAATTTAGATTGCACATTGGAGGCTTGGATTATCGACACTCGACGACTCGAGGTTTTCTGTACGATAAGACACGCCATGTGTCAACAACAACAAATAAAACCTTGCGGGCAACAAACATCGCACTACCACGCGATCTTGAGCAGGACCCGACACGGTATGGCCCACTTCCCTAGCATGCTGTTGTCAGTGCTTGAGGATTGCAGTTGGCAGTGCAGGTGTTTTCGTCATCAGCTGTTATTTGAGCGAAGCAGCGAGCACGTAGTGTGCCGAAATTATGGATGTGTTGTTCACGAATGTTGCCTCTTCGGGGCCGAAATCGGTTGTTGTGTGCGGTGATTTCCAATCCCTACCTTCTGATAACCCCTCTACGGTTACTGCATTGTTCGCTGATGCTTGGTTCGACTTGACGCGAGGCCGCATATACCAAAACAGACTGGAAATCCGGGTTCACTGGTGGTGGCGAAGTACGGATTGATTACCTTCTTCTAAATAAAAACATGCCCTGCCTTTGTTTAGAATCATCTCCGTGCACAGGCATGCTCGTCTCCCAAATCAGTGTCCATGCATTCTGACGCTTGACATTGCACCATGTCTATAAATCCAGCGTGGCCAGCGAAAAGAGACTTGACCTCGAGTCCATAAAAGAAGGGGAAGTTCATGAGGCTTTTAATGGCCAACAAGGAAAGAGTTTCAAGAGTTTTGCGGAAATCCGCACTAACGAGCTTTTGTCGTGCAAGCTGCACGACGCGATTCAGCAAAAACTGACTAAAGTGGACTATCCACTTACGGAGAAACGAGTGTAGAGAGCTTTGTGAAGGGCTACCGTGGCGCAGTTTGTTTGCTTTACACCGTTTCACACGACGACAAGCAATTTGCACAATGAGTTTCGCAAACTGACCAAGAGTCCGAACAGGGTCTGAAAAGCGAAGCACCAACCTCGAAGCCAAGCACATAGAGGCAAATGGGTTACAAGATCTTTCATTCCAGCACAGCGCTGCACTGATGCGGGCACGAATTCATACCTGGATTACGTACGCATGTTAGTGCGTTAGTAAGCGATGAACAAAAGGACTGTTTTTCGCAGACACCAGCGACAAGACTGCAATGCATCTGCAAACACCAGTCCAACATGCTGCATTAGAAGTCGTTTGAGCGTGTCCTTCTTCCAGTTTGGAATGGATGTTTGCCTTCCGGCAAATCCACCCCCCAGCTCGTCTTTTGGTAATGAATGTTTCATCCATGCGACAATGCGATCTCTAAGTTTTCCTATAAATTCTCCAGACTTTGTTTCGATGGCACACTCACGTTCTACCTACTTGGCTTTCTTCGCGACCGCCCTGAGCCGAAAGAAGCAAGAGGCACGCGGACCCTTTCGCCAGGGAATGCTCCGAATGTAAAGAAAGCGATGCTAACACAACTAAGTGAAGACGCAAATGCGATGCTCGCACTGGAGATGTGCAAGCAGTCTACAAGAGAGTGGAGGGTGGCTGAAAATTTGCATGGCTTCGACATGCTATGAAAGATTAGGCCGGTTGCTATACAAAAAACACGCGAACAGAAACACGCGTAAGAGGCACGCCAGGGTCTGCTATGGTCTGCTCGGAACGCGAAGGTAAGAAAGCTATGCTACTATGTTTTGCCGAAGTTTTCCCCACTTCCGAATAGTGTTGACACCGCTCAGGACTTCAGGCTTCAGTTCAAAGTCAAGCTAGCACAAGCACTCGGACACTTCTTTTTTCACACTCGCGGTCTTGAGCCAAGCAGTTCGGTCGGTCTTTCACTGCAGAAAACTCTGGTCCACAGCTCACAACCAAACTCAAAACAGACCACTGGCCCCTCAGAGATATCGATGCTTCTTGTAAGCATGATTCCCACAACTCCCACTTAGGAGCTTTCCTCACTGTGATCTC